GAGGGATGATTGTTTAGATTATTATTTTCTTAAAATACAGTCACTAACAATTTTCAAGGTCAAGTAGTTACACATTGAAAGCTCTGTTAGTATGATGCAATGGGGTCCTTTTACTCAAATCCCAGTTGTAAAAAAAATGCATTCAAATTTTAACTGAATCTTAGTGATAGTGATTTTTCAAATAAATAGTTACCCCTGTCCAAACCCTCAATCTACTTCCACAACCTCGGTGCTCCCCTAGTGTTCTGCATTTCTATAATATGCATCCAACCAGTGCTAAAGTGAAAAACTTGAGAGTAGTGCAAGTGATCTCCCTCTAGCTCACAGCCAATCAATAACCAACTCTCATATGAGGCCCTGTACATCCTTTATTTATTTATTTATTTATTTTTGAGACAGAGTCTCACTCTGTTGCCAGGGCTAGAGTGCCATGGCATCAGCCTAGCTCACAGCAACCCCATTTCATCATACTACAGAGCTTTCAATGTGTAACTACTTGACCTTGAAAATTGTTAGTGACTGTATTTTAAAAATAATAATCTAAACAATCATCCCTCAGTATCTGGGGGATTTGTTCCAGGACCCCTGTGGATACCGAAAATGTGAGGATGTTCAAGTCCCTGATATAAAATGGGAATAGCATAATATTTGCATATAACCCATGCATATCCTCCCATATATTTTAAATCATCTCCTAGATTACTTATAATACCTAATATAAATGCTATGTAAATAGTTGTATTGTTTATGGAATAATGACAAAAAAAGCTCTGCACATATCCAGTAGAGACACATTTATTTAAAATATTTCAATCCAAAATTGTTGAATCCACAAATGCAGAACCCACAGATATGGAGGGGAGGGCTGACTGTATTTTTAAATCTTATAAATAATTTCTTTTACCAAGTATTAATACTTACTCATTGCTTACTTCATGCAGATCAGAGGCTGGACTCATTTTGCTTTTCCAAAACAGCACTGATTATTTCCAATATAATCTGAGTTAGTTCATACTTATCTCTTCACATTGTGAAATATCAGATACTTTAGAAGCAACAATCTTGCTCTCTTCTCTCCAGAAGTGTGGGATTCATTTATCAAATTTAAAATGGCTCTGCAACATCATCTGCATTCTCTGGGAAATAAAGTTGAAACATAAAAGCTGTATTGCTTACTTTTGTGCCATGCTGCTCTGCTTCCTTCCCTCACTACAAGTGCAATGAAAATACATGCCACACTGCCAGGTGGGTTGGCTCACGCCTGTAATCCTAGCACTCTGTGGAGCTGAGGCAGTGGATCATTTGAGCTCAAGGAGTATAAGACCAGCCTGAGCAAGAGCGAGACCCAAGTCTCTACTAAAAAAATAGAAAGAAATTAGCTGGACAACTAAAAAATATATAGGACAAAATTAGCCGGGCATGGTGGCCGCATGTTGAGTCCCAGCTACTCAGGAGGCTTGAGGCAGAAGGATGCTTGAGCCCAGGAGTTTTGAGTTTCTGTGAGCTAGGGTGACACCATGGCACTCTAGCCCAGGAACAGAGTGAGACTCTATCTCAAAAAAAAAAAAAAAAAATACATGCCACAGTAACCCATGTTTAGATAGAAGGAAAGTGTTGGCCTCATTTTCTGCAATAGACGTAGTCTCAGAAAGTAGCACACAAATCAAACGTTTTTATCATTAAATGCTTTTTCAAACGTACCATGAGAAATCTTTTTCATTCACTGAAGACTTATCTTAAAATTCGATTCTAATTTAAGTTATGACTTTTTAGGATGGGATTGAGTTTAAGTAGAATCCCACTATGTTTGAATATCAGCAAACCACTCAGTCTATGTTTCTTAATTCAAAGGGTGGTGATTACATTTCCTGTTCAAAGAACTATCAACCCACAGAAAAAAAGCAAATATGGACTACATTGCAATAAAAAGCAATTAATTTAGTATTTCCTAGGGAGTAAGAACAATAAGATATTACCTCGCCCACTTTTTTCACTTTTATTATGGAAATTTCAAGTACACACAAAAGTAGAAAGAACAGTATAATGAATCCCATGTTTCTCATGAATCACCCAAATTCAACAAGTGGTCAATGAATGGCGAAATCTTATTGTATCTACACTCCCACCCACCTTTCCCCAAATCCGGATTCTAAAAAAACAATTCCCAAGACATTGTTATCATTTCATCCATAAGTAACTTTAGTATGTATCTCTAGAATAAAAGAATTTTGTCATAACCAAATTACCAATTAAATCAAAAATTAAATTTGAAATTAATAATATTCAAAATCGTCAGAATCCAGTTGGGTACTCAAATGTTCGTAATTGTTTCATAAATTTTTTTAAAAATAGCTGTTTTGTGTGCCATCATCACTCACTTTAAAGTTAAGAGCTTTGGTAAATTATAACACAAACTAGATTTCAGTTCAGTATAAAATACATAAAGTTGAGCTTCTGTGTGGTGTTTTCCTAGCTTAATTTCCTTAGCTTAAAGCTTAAAGCACTCACATTGAGTCCAGTAACCAAAATACATAGGAATATAATTTTAAAAATGCTATCTGTTGGCCGGGCACGGTGGCTCACGCTTGTAATCCTAGCACTCTGGAGGGCAAGGTGGACGGATTCCTTGAGCCCAGCGAGTTGGAGGTTGCTGTGAGCTATGCTGACACCAGGGCACTCACTCTAGCCTGGGCAACAAAGCGAGACTCTGTCTCAAAAAAAAAAAAAAAAAATGCTATCTGTTAAGAAAAATTCCAGAGGAGAGGTTATTACTCATAACACCACTTAACCAGGTTATATTACACATAACCAACTCTGTTTGGAGAAACAATAATTCCGCATGAAATTATCTCTATCTCTCTCTCTCTCTCTCTCTCCTCTGTCTCTCTCTCTACTCTGTCCTCCTCTCTTTCAATGTCCTCCATAATTGTCAGCATCTCTCCAAATCTCTCTCCTACCCCAAGTTCCCAGAACTTTACTCCCAACAGAGCCCACACAGGCTAATTTTTTCTTTCTCTCCTTTACCCCTCATTGTTTTGTTTTTGGCTTTATTCTTTTTTTTCCTGCAAAACAAAAGCTCTCTGTCCTCATCAATAAATTAAAACAGTCTTAACTGAGGTCCTCTCAGTTCCTCTGTCCTTAACCATTACTCCAATCTGCCCCCAATAATAGTTTTACACAGGAACTGAGCTACGCAAAGACCAATTTCTCCTGGGGAGATGGGGGAGAGGGGTACTGAACAACGTTGAAATGGTATCTCAATTAATATTTTGTCCCTGTTAATCATCTATCTTTTTTTTTTTTTTTTTGAGACAGATCTCACTCTGTTGCCCAGCCTAGAGTGAGTGCTGTGGCATCAGCCTAAGGCTCACAGCAACCTCCAAACTCCTGGGCTTAAGCGATCCTCCTGCCTCAGCTCCTGAGTAGCTGCGGACTACAGGCATGCGCCGCCATGCCCACTAATTTTTTCTGTATAATTTTGTTTCCAATTAATTTCTTTCTAATTTATAGTAGAGGACGGGTCTCGCTCTTGCTCAGGCTTTTTTGAACTCCTGACCTTGAGCAGTCCACCCACCTCGGCCTCCCAGAGTGCTAGGATTACAGGCGTGAGCCACCGCGCCCTGCCAACATCTTATCTTCTCTTAAGCTAAAGAAACTGAGGAAACAATATATACTAGGGATGAAATAAAACTAGTGAGCTCATTCACAGATCTTTCTACTCCTCTTATTAATTGCTCGCAGTTATGCTTGAAAATGGAATAGGCAGAGTTCCTTGTTTATGATTCTCTAGGCTTCAGTGCTGTGACTTCACTTTCATGCAATCCCTGCTGTGGCCAAAATGAAGTAAGCAACAGGCCAATAGGAGACTAACTATACTGTGGAAAGTATTATATACTTTTCATCTGGTTGTATTAGTTTTAATGAAAAATTCAAGATAAATATACTCATTGTGTAAAAATTCCAGGTCCAAGCAAAAGCAACAAAAGGAATCTTCCTTTGTAAGTTGTAGGCGATAATTGATCTCATTGCTTGAAATACTGTTACAATTGATCTGCCAGTAATTTCAATAATCCAGATAATAATATCTTGCTATTATTGAAACAACTTCTATGAACCATTGTTCTATTACCTATTGCCTGCATAACAAATTCACCCCAAACTTAATGGCTTAAGCCAAAAATGTGATTATTATGCTCTCATGTTTCTGTGTGTTCGACTTGATGCTCAGCTGAGCCAGTTCTTACTTTGGCGGACTCTCACGCAGTTGCAGTCAGATGGCAGCTGAGGCTGGTACACATCTGAAGGCTAGACTGGGCTGCGAAGTCCAAGAGGCGCATCTCACATGGCTTATCTTTGATGGACTATGGACTGGTCAGTTGGGACTGGTCTTACCTCTACAGAATTGCGCCTTCCCCAAGTGGCTTGGGGCTCGAGTGGTGTGCTGGCCCACGCTTGTGGGGGGGGCGGGGGCTTACTGGGCCAGCTTGTACCAGCTTGTGAGAACTCAATTAGTAAATTTGGCGGGAATTTTTGTTGAAGCTGGCTGTCTGAAAATACCATATTAAAAATTAATATATAAACTTACAATTAAGAATAAATTAAAACAGTGATCTCAAAAACTCATCACTTTCTAATTATTTTGCCTATATTTTTTTACTATCTATGTTTTGTGATTATTACAGTATATTGTATCTGTGTTCGTGTATCTCTTACTGACTTCTTATTCAGCTGACTATATGCTTACTAGTTTGTACTTCAATCCATGAAGGAGATTACATCATGAAATGAGCAAAGCTGACAAATCGGTACCCTTTTCTGGTAGACCTAATGTTAAATATTTTTCAGCACACCTTGTTTCGGCTCTTAACAATATGCTGTCGGGCGTCTGAAAGGAAGCATCCCAATGCGAACTGTACCAAGAGAAAGGATGCAGACACTTTCGGTCTGCTTAAAAGTGTCCCTCCTGCGGCGCCGCCTGCTCCTCCCCAGCCCCAGGCCCGCCCCTCCAGCCCAGTCCCTCCCCCCAGCCCCATTCCGTGCCCCTCTCCAGCCCCATTCCTGTCCCTCCTCCAGCCCCAGTCCCGTGCCCCCTTCCCAGCCCCCACCCTGCCCTCCCAGCCCCAGGTCCCTCCTCCCCCCAGTGCCCATGCTCCCCCACCCCATGCCCACTCCCCCGCCCACCGTCTCCTCCAGCGCCAGTTCCGGTGCCCCAGCCAGTCCCATGCTTCCCTCTTCCAGCGCCCATCTCATGCTTCCTCCCCAGCCCCAGTGTCCCCATGCTCCCTCCCCAGCCCCCACCGCCCCCTCCAGCCCCAGTCCCCACTCCCTCCTTCCAGCCCCCAGTCCGTCCCCCCCAGCCCCATCCGCCCCCTCACCCCATGCCGCGCTGCGCCCGCTTCCTCCCCCCCGCGCTCACCACGCCGCCGCCGTGCCTCGAAGAAATACACCCCATGTGCAAGAAAACCTCCGCACCATCCCCTCAAGGAACAACTTGCCCAACCTCCTCACCCTCACCCCCGACAGCCCACGCCCCTCTGCCTGCCCCGACCGTCGCCTGCCCACTGAGCACGACGAACTCCCCTGCAGCAATCCAACGTCACCCCAAGACCTAACACCTGTCGTGCGCAACTCCAGTAGTTGAGCAGTCTGAATATACACACTTAGCGTGACCAATTCCTACTGGAGGTATCAAAAACAGTATACAAAGCGTCGCAAG